GAAAATTCGCATAAACTTTAATGACCATAGATATGAATTAAAAAATCATGATATATTAAATAAGATTATCGCCAAAAGCTTTCAAATCCATAATTCTTTTAAGGCCAAAGTGTAGTGCGATTTGTGAGAAGTAATCGTGTTTCTTCTAAAGTTAGAGTAAATATATGAGATTAATACGTTTGCTACAAATGTCGTATTAGTCATAAGGTTTAGCAAGTGTGACTGAAAAAATAAAATTCGCACCAAAAAGGACAAAGTAGCTTGTAGCCTAAGGTAAACAAGTGAAATGGTTGATACTGTGGTATTAAGTCTGCAAGCTCTAATAAAATTATATAACTAGCCATGTCAATTAAAAATAAGGTTTAAACAAAATAATTTCATGGGCAGTTGTAATCTTGATAAAATTATTATGCTTTGTTAGCAACTAGTTATACGCAACATTATGTAATGACACATCAGTATTTTAAATCAATCTAAATTCTCAAAATAGGCCTACAACGACAAAGATGTATCAATGAAAAAGATGTGATTAGTCCACCAAATTGGTGAATATGCACTTTACGAATGAAGATAAGACAGAGTTTAGCGACTTACCCTATTGATAGAAAGTGGCTCATCCTCTCCAGATGCAGTGGGCTTCTTTGAAATTTGCATCGAATGAGTCTTATCCTGCAAAGCCTGTTGTTGAAGTTGACGTTCCATGAGAAGACGAGCAAACCGAGGAGGTAAGTCAGCACGAAACAGTTGCGCATTCTGTCTGAGGCCAGAGAGCGCTCCTGAAGCAGAATGGCCGGAAGAAGTAATCGGAGATGGACTCGCTTGGGTGCGATGGTGAGGTTGTTGGTGATGGTGATGGTGCAACTGACGTTGTTGTTGTCGGCTCTCTTCCTCCTGTTGTCTTGCAGCCACCTTTATCGTAATGGAAATGAGGTTAGAGAATCAGAGATATTGGCACAATGCCACCAATTAAAAATGCGCGTATATGGATGTTCGAAGTAAAATAAAAGAATACGAATATATATATTCCTGAGTAGCATCAAAAGTATAGCCAATAATAATCCCTAAAAAAAAATTTCATTCCAGATATAACATATAATCTGCATTATTCACCAAGTATGAATTATAGATCATATATATATATATATATCAAATAAATAACCAATACACTGTCTATCTACTATCATTATCTACAACATTTCGCCTTTACTTGGAATATATATAACATGCAAGTTGGAGAAGGGTAGTCTTCAGGACTTAGATTTAGCTAAAAGCTATTACAAGAATAAATTTAAGCCCTGACGAGGTTTGTTATATGAAGAACGAAAGCTAGGCGCGTTTTCATCTGAAATGCGAAATGATGTCTTGTGGATAGCGTAGAAACAAATACTAAGAAGGCAGGCTTACCTGACTGGCTTGAACCTGAATGAAACGCGCCAGATCTGCGTTAACAATCAATCCACCACCAGCAATAGGGCTCTTCTGCGCCGTAGTGACTGTGCCGATCGTCTCGCCTCTATTCAAAGCAGACTCGGCCTTTGAAATAGGAGAGCTAGAGGTGGCCTGAGTAGGGCAAGCTGAGATAATTTCGGCCTCAACTTCGCTTTTGGCTGACGATTGACCTGTCAAAAATGAGGATGACAACCTGATATTCCCAGAATCAATCGGGATACCGATGGATTGAATGGTGTTATTTTCATTCTTAGAGGATACGATATCATGGAGGTCCTGGAAGTCAATTAAGAAATGTAATGATAAGATGGCCGGAGAATAATACGGAAGGAAAATATTCGTGGTATAGAGCAGAATTGTGGGTGGATATGATTAGAGGATTATGAAAAATGTAAAAGAAGTGTAAAATAATGTAAAAATGGATCCATTACAGAAAATGTATAAGGATAATATTAGGTTAATGAACGTTGTTAGGAGATAAAGAATAGGAGATTGTATTAAATGAGCAATCGATCCCTCCAGGAATAAACAAAAATAATATCTGAAAATAACTGTTGTAAAACTATATGTTGGAATTCAAAAGCAGCTGATTGAGTAGGTAAGCAAAGGAATTAACAGAGAAAATGTACAATAGGCAAATTGATCTTATTGAAGATTCTAATTTATTAGAATGATAGCAAACGGAAAGTACATATTTCATTTATATTGGCATAGTTTTCGCTTCGTTTGAGAAGGCGGGTGGAAGGGATTCGTATATTGGCTTCACCGGATACCAAAGAATGGTTACCTTGGCCTTTTGTCTCTTTAATTGTGCGAGATAGACCTCGAATCACCGTCCTACGACCCCGATGACTTTGTGCTGAGCCTTCGTTCGTTATGTGATGGACATCGTCAGAGCCAAAAACCATTATTCATAAACAATTACCAAAATACATCGAACCAAGAATGATGGCAAGCTGAGATCATACTTTCTTCTTATACCTCACCTCGCGATCTTAATGAGGCATTCCATTATTTAGTTAGGTGTCTTATGCCCGTTCTACATGCATGTAAGCGAGTCAAAGTGATGCAAGAAAGGAAACGTATGTGGTCACAACTTTTGTCTAGGTAATTACCCTAGCGTATGTTCTTGTAATCATGAGTTATGTTAGAGCATCGTGGATGCGTTTTCGTGTGCATATACAACCCTCACGAGTTGGTTGGCCATTTTAAGTCCAAAAACAGACCCCAGCTCTTACTCAGTGGCTCTTCCTGTTCCCTTTCCTACTCAATCTCTCTAATTCTATTTAGCAGCCATATATATTTCTTACTTAGTTTCCTACATTCGTTGATGTCATTCAGGATGTTCTTTGTTTTGCTAATTTCAATCGAATCCCTGATCTTCTGCTGTGAAGTCCCCATATCCAGCAAAACGTTTGGATTTAGACTACTCTATCTGGTGCTCTCTATTGATCACATATTCAGCCACTTCCGATTTCTGAATCCATAAAACTTTAAGGCGGTTCTCTGTTCTGATAGTTTCTTATCTATAGATCGAAGTGCCCCCTACATAAACACTACAACATGAGCACAAAAACTTGTAACAACCGTTCATTTCATGCACGTAGAGTATGCATAAAACGACCAACCAAATCATGGAATGACTCATTAAAATCGCAAAGTGAGATATACGAAGTAAATAGGATCTCAGCTGGCCACCTTTCTTGGCTTAGTGTTTTTTATGAATTGTTCGCAAATAATGGTTTCTGGCTCTGACTATGTCCGTCACATGATAGACAAAAGCTCAACAAGGAGTCATCGGGGTCGTAGGACGGTGAGTCGAGGCCTACTTCGCACAACTCAGCAGACAAAAGGCTAAGGCAACCCTCTCTCAGTATCAGGTGAGGCCAATCAACGAGGTCCTTCCACCCGCCTTAGCAAACGAAATGAAAGGTATGCCAATATCACTCTACTAAGGGATTCTTCGAAACCTAGCTTCTCTTCATATATGTAATTGAATATTTGGGTGGTAAGTAACTGATATACCAAATAACGACTCCTGAGGTCAAGGTTCTTGTTAATTTTATCGTAGCATAGATTACTGGAGTTTCGATCAAGAATTGATATTTCTATGGGATCTAGCTATCTAAAAACTAAAAACATGATCATAATTATATATTTACGCATAAACTGAATGCATAAGGCTACCAGTACATATCAATAGTAGGCTCTACAAGTGGGCCGCTAATGATAAGAACTGGTCCTTACAGTAAAGTGGATTATGCGAAGGTAACGAACTCAAGCTTAAGGGACGAATTTCCAGAAGAAAAAATTAAATATTTTAATATAGACAAGCAAGGTAGGGTCAGAATAAAAAGAAATCTTAAAAGCTAACCTCTCGTGGCAATCTATCGTCCAACGGGCTTGTCACATGTTTAATCCTTGTCACTGACAGTGAAGGAACTTCGGCACTCGATGACGAGCAGTTTATCTCAACTCCTGTATCCTGTCGCCTAAAACCAGGACCGCAGATTTGAGGTCCAGGCTGAGCCCTGTATGAATCTTGGTTATCATTGTGATGGATAGGCGAAGTAATCAGGATTGATCGGGTGGCTTCCTGGAAATTCACTGAAGCTGGAACTTCGGAACTATCATTCGTTGCACTGGATACTAGGTCAGCAGACATCAGAGATACGTCGGATGCATATAAACAAGGATAGATTGTATTAAGAATAACCAAACGTATAAAAGCTACTTAATGTAGGTTAGAAATGCCTGGATTAATAGTTGCTTTCTTTAAGCCCATCTAAAATCACATTCAGGGATGAATTAATCAGAAGTAAAAAAGTAATCTCTAGATCGGATGGCAAGATACAAGCTATTATAAAGAAAATCACAAGTGAACCAAATAAAAATTTACACAATGGACTCAAAATTATTTTAATCGTGGGTATGAAGCACAAGATGATGTAGCCTTCTGTTTGGTCGCAGTCTTTAGCTTTATAGTGTTGGTTCGACCTTGTCTGTGCAGTTTTATCGAAGCGTCAGAGAAACCTTGTAGAATGTATCTAATCCCGTGTCCTCTGCAATAGTATTCGTGATTTGCAACATTGGACCCTTGGCTTGGTACATTCCCAGACGTTTCGCCGGCATTGTCAGTGAGAGGCGCCATCGTAAGCATAGAGTTACAACTTATCAAAGTGACAAGTGAAGGCAATCCCCCTGACTATTTTTTTCACACCAGCGATTGTGATTTAAGCCAGACACAGGGCATATCTTTCAGCATGTCACTTAAGATTCCATTGATCTTCATAGTTGGGTCCTTGTTTAGTTTACGATATGTGGTCATGTCTCGTAGAATATGTACAATCTCCTCGATATATTGTTTTTTTTGTCCATTATCACTGTCGCACTTCCTTTATCCGCCTGAAGAACTAATCGTTCATTCGTTCCCAGGGTCTTGTTTAACTTGGTAAATCTATTTCCGTGTTAGCTCTTGATGTGTCAAGATACTTGGAATTAGTTCAATCTCCATTTCCCGTTCTGTCTACTCAGGGAACTTGTCGGAGGCATTGATAACGTCCACCATAATGTCTCCTAGAAGGTTTCTGTCATGTTGAATTGAAAAATTGAGTCTTTTTTCCAGGAACGCGGTTGTTTCGGAAATGAGAGGAATTGATAATAAGTACAATACTTTCTTCCGATCGTCCTCTGAGGAGACAAAACGGGAAATGGAGATGGCACTAATTCGCAAAATCACGACACAATGGTAAGTTTTTATGTGAAATCCATGTATACAAATATCTCTGGAGGAAATGCGCTAACGGCCCTGTTGGAAATCCTGGACCAAGAGGAGGATATCCTGGAATCACAAAGAATCAGGAAGTCGTTTACAAGACTGATTAAAATGACAATAAGGACAACCTATTTTACATTCAAAGGGAACATCTATGAAAAAACATTTGGACTTCCCATGGTATCACCGCTCTCACCAGTTTTGGCGACGTATACATGAACAAAACAGAAGAAAACTTCAAGATGGCGCCGCTACAACCGGCAGGGCTCATGCGGTACCTGGATGATTATTTCGAACTTTGGTCACATGAAAAAGAAAAACTCGAAGAATTTCTGAAGTTTGTAAACAAGATTGAAAGAAAAATTTAATTCACGATGGAAGTAGAGGAAGGTAAGGGGTTACCGTTCCTGGAAGTTGAGGTGATTTGCTCTAATA